TCCTGGATGAAATGAGTAATAAACTTTTGAGCTACAAACAAGTACAGAATGAATCAGTGTGAACTTTGATGCAACTTAGAACTCTGTTTTTTAAAGGTACTTAGCAGTAAGACTGAAAAATAATCCCAGAGCAAAGGATAGAGCGATCTACCTGCAATGGCAAAGACAACTGTTACTAAGGGAAAGCCATTAGGGAATCTCCAGTATTGGCTTGGGACAAGCTCAAATGTACTGATCCATTTTGACAAGGTCCATCTGGAACAAGCTCATCCGCACCGGTCCATTTTGCAGCAGCTGGCGTAAGGCCGCCTGGGAAAACCAAAATAGCATAGTTCCCTGAAGGTGATGTTCCTTCCCACAGCCATACGGCTGTTGTGCCAGGGTTCTGCTATTCACACTCCTCTGTTGTAGGAGATGTTCTCAAACATTTGCAACCATCACCATGCCAGCTACTGGTCTTAGGCTTTGTCTCCTTCATCTCATCCCCAGTATCTGAGGCCTGGGCTTGCCTGGCATTTGCTTTGGCCATGCTGACCAGCCTTACTGCTCTGGGTTGTTTTCTTAAGCAGACAGATTAGAAAACATGCCGAGTTACCACTGTCTGACTACATGAAGGTATTTGGAGGGTGCACATTGCAAACCCATGAGGGAAGGAAAGTAGCAATTGTATCATCACTCTGAGTTTGACTCCTGTGATGGCTAAGGTGGAACCTTTGTTCATCAATCAGAATTTTGAGCCCTTTCTAAAGTTTCTAATCTAGCTCCAAGCATCAAAGAGTGCAAGGCCTGCAAAATGTTAAAATCTTAGGGAAAAGAGGTAAAACAACTAGTAGTTGTCTGTCCTCATATCTTAATAATTTGGACTTCTAAATAAGGAGCAGTGATGATAGCATATAAGGAGGCAGAAATCTGTAATTTTTGGTACTGATGATGATTTAGGGAAACAACATGTCCTGCTCGTTTGATTGCACTAACAATGATGCTAAAAGCATATGTTTATAATGAGCAATGCCTTCTGTATAGCTCTCTGATTTTGCTTTTGATACATTCCAAATGAGAGGGGCAAATGGTGCTTGACTGTAAGCCTAATACGGGAGAAATTTCTGAGCTGGTTGGCTCACTTTAAATGAACAGGAAATGTTTGCAAACAAACCCCTATTTCTCATAAAGATAGTAGACATTGTAAAAGTGGTCAAATTTTCTTCTAATTGTGATCCTCAAGTACTACCTAAAAAAAAAAAAAGTGCTAGATAGTACATTAGCGTGCATAAATACATGATCTTGTAACCATGTAACTATTACTGGATTTCTTGCTGATATTTGGCAAGATGTAGAGGACAGAGGGCTGGGGTTGGTAACACCTGGGTAATGCACAAGTTTCTGGTTGTTTGCTGATGATTAAAGTCATCCTATGAGCCACAGAACATGGCTTGATGCCATTTTTTTTTAAAAAAATCCTTTTATTTTTTCCTTGTCATGCTACAAATGGTACATTTTAAGTTGCTTAATGTTGTCAGCACAGTGGCCCCATAGCCTTTTGGGGTTGTGTTTTTGATGTTAAGTCAGCACAGTGGCCCCCATAGCCTTTTGGGGTTGTGTTTTTATAGGTAATGTTGTTTCTGTGATTATTTCTTGTTTAATATCAGCCTCTTGTAGAGCAAAGAATATTCAAGAGCTTTTCTGGTTCACGTGTCACAATCTTAAATGACAGGCAGCAACTAGGTTACTGGCACTGAGACTGGGAAACGTGTCCATCATGTCACCTTCTATTTATGGTCTATGTATCATTCAGGAGGAAAAGGCAGTTTCGTGTCCTATTCCAGAATTTAACGTGGCCCGCTCTGGATAGTCGCTGTAACCCCTTAATTATACTGCTTGAAAAAGTAGAGTGGCTGAAGCTGAAAGCACAAAATAGTTTGGGAAGCCATGTAGCCCATCATTTGGCTAAACTGAGGAGGGTTGCATGCCGAAAGGACTGGTGTGTGGCATTTAACAATAGGGCAGTTTTGCCTGATTTCTCCCAGGCTAATTTGCTATCTGGGGGCATGTGGATTGTTTGCATCAGGCCGGATCATGTGTAGATTTTTGGTGTTACTGTTTTAATTAACTTATCTCTCTGACATTAAAAGCAGCCTTCGGAATAGAGCGGGTTCCCTATTGAAATGGAGGAAAATATTTTCTTTCCGCAGCCATTGCCACCTGCTCAGAGCACAGTTGTCCCCACAGAGTAAACTCAGCTGTTTGCTGGCACACAAATGTTGAAAGTGCACTGACATTTGTTTTTTAAAAAGTCCGGATAAAATATATCAGGAAGAAATTTTCTTAAAAGTTTCCTATAAAAGTTGTCCTATTGTAAATAAAATGGAACTAAATATAATGGAATATAGTTAATTATTTAATGTTTGCTAGTTAAACTAAGCCAAAAGCCAAGTTCATCAGTAAAAGCCTCCAGTTTCATTATTCTGAGATTGTAGTTTCTGCCCCCTCATCTTGCTCCTTTTATTCAGGGAGCTGCATTGCTGCTATGGGCAAATATAATCTGAAAGTCTTCCCTGATTGCTTGTGTACCAAGGCAGGTAAAACTATGGTCTGCTGTAGTTTCTTAGATAAAAGGATTTACACCTTACGGTTGGATATATGTTTAGATTTTTGATGCAAATTTTGTTAGTGGATTTCAGAACTCTTTTAAGTGTTAAGATAAAAATCTGAAGGACACAATCTGAATACAAAGCCTGGGCATTTTCAAACATTAATAGTTTTACAACCCATTAAGGTGAATAAACACTTATTATTGTTTTAATGTAAATGTAAGCTAGTGCATGGGTGGCTAACTTGAACAAGATTACATAGCAATACCATGTTTGAAGTGCAAATGATACCGTGTTCTCCGTCTTGCTCAGTTTTAACTCATCTTCTTTTTATGGCAACATCTCAGTTATATTTTTAAAGCATTTCAATTTCATTTCTGATGTTAGTCTAGCTTTATTTTAAAACAAACATTTTTAATGTGATTTTTAATGACTTTTGCCCAGAAGATGAATAGTTCTGCCTAGCAGCATGTAGAGCAAAGCTGCTTCTGAAATGCTATATGGGATGAGTATTGCCTTTTTTAATGTATGAAGAAAGATAGTACACATTTTATATGTTACATTCTGATGTCCTCAAAGTATTCCAAGTAGGTGAACAATAGTCATTAGTAAGTGTCTATGGAACAGATACTTTTCTCAATACCCTTGCCCTGAAGGTGACACATTTTTGAGGCAGTCTGTCCTCACTGCCAGCTCATTGTTTCGGATACATTTCCGCGGAGGGCAGTGGGCAGGGGCTGCTGACCCCTTTGAAGCTGCGGCAGCTGTCTGTGCATCTGCTGGTTTCCTTGCTGCTGCAATTCACATCTCTGCAAGTGGTGACGATAATCCTGTGCAGGGCTGGAGCTGTGTGCAGATCAAGCAGTACAAACACCTCCCATGCCTTTCGCAGCACTTCACACAACAGACCCAGCTTCATTCTCAGCTGACAGCCTCACCCACCAAGCTCCTACAAAAACACGCGCCTCTTGTCTCCCCAACCTACTGTCCGTCCCTGCCCTGCAGTGCTGGGGGCTTTGCTTGCTCCTAATCCTCACCAGCTTGTCACAAAAGTCTCAGGATTCTTTTCTAAAGGGAAAAGGGAATGTAAAACTGAGATGAAACCCAGAGCCATGAAAAATGTAGAAATTGGCTATTTGTCACCTGTAGAATAATGCAGATATCTTCCTGACCTGGATTTGTGCATGCACACAGTAAAGTTTCTTGTTGATTCATCATACTTTCCTGTATTTATTTACTTGAAAAAGATGCTGCAGTTTAACAAGAAATTCTGGTGTTAAAGTGGCATAGCTGCAATGTGCATGCCTTTTGCTCTGTTGCACATTTACTTGCTGAGTCTGATTGCTGGATTGGAGAGGTGCTTATTTCAGTCTGTGAGACGCCCTGGCTGATTCAGCTAGGTTGAATCTGAGGAAAACAACTTTCTGAAAGCTGCAGCATCTCTGAGAGAGGGCAGTTTTCTCTTGCTGCAATAGAATTAGTCCTCCTTCTCCTGTTCCCCTACACCAGGCCTCAGACAACCTTGTCCCACCTAACTATGATCTTGGTACTTATTATTTATTAAGGAAAGACAAAAAAAGCATACAGAAAAAATATATATTGTTTCAACATTTAAGGGATACATTTTTGTAAATTCCTTGGAAGAAATATTAATAGGAAAGTAACAGTAATGTTTATTTCCTTTTAAAAGGTTTACGAATGGCTAGTTTTTATTTTAGTAGAAGACTATCGTCGTCATGAGGAAATACTAGAAGGAGGGGGAAGGGCAATATGTTAACGTGTTACTGGTACAAGGAAGTCACTCCATGCTAGAATTTTATCATGGATCTGTTATTTTTCTTTGCTTCTCCCTGCAGATTCTTGTTGTGTAGTATCAGCATGGTGCACTGTAATAAACAAACAAAAAATATTGCTAATAGTTTGTTTTCCCTGTTTCCTCGCATTTTAAACATAGTGACTTATATAGTGACTTATAATATAAAATATTAGTTTTCCTTTCATAATGGGATCAGACTTTCAAAATAACCAATGAAGTCTAGTCAAAACAGCTTTTAATTTTTTAAAATGTAGTTTCCAGTTTACATTTGTAAACAATGTCCACTATCTAAAAATACAAAACAGAAAACAAAATGTGTTTAATGATTAGATTCTTTCCAACTTAAATTTTTTTTTCTTAATTTTAAAGTACATATGAGTAAAGCCTGATTCAGTAATAACTTTTTTCAAACTGTCATTAATAAAAGGATTGCTATTCTGATAAGCACAGTTCTACTTTTTTCTCTTTTAGATTACTTGTTATACAAGCAGCAAAGCAGTGAATACTTATGCTTTAAGAATCTCTTTCCTTCTTGATTTAATGATGAAAAAATTAACACCTTCTTTCCATCTAAATCATGTAAATAGTTAAGACTCATGCTGTAGCTAAGCTGATTCTTTCTCTGTTTTAAAAATAGAAAATGCTAGAGCAATCCTTCCCTTCCCCCTCTATGTACTCACTAGTCCAAGCTAGTAAAGTCAGTGAATGGATTTCAGTGTTGTAGCCATTCTTCAGTAAGCACAACAAGATCCTTTGTGAAAAACTGAAAGCAGGAGAAAAAGGTGGTAGAAATTCATTTGTGGCTGTTCGTCAGACCCGAGTACCTCCACTAGTGACAGACAAGCTTTCCTCGGGAAGCAAGTAAATAATGACAACAAATACTGCTGTTGAGAGGAGCTGCACTCACCAGAATCTCCCCAAAAGAAGCCTAGAAAGTATAGGGGAGTGTCCTGCGAAGCGAAAAGCTAGCTGGGGTATTCTCACCAGCCAAGGTTAGTACAGCAGCCATTTCACAAACCCATGGGCGTACGGAAATGTGCTAAGCTGACCCAGTTTATGGTGTTCTGGCTTTAAACTGCTTTTTGTTTCTTTCCAGATGTAATGTAAATGCATGCTTGTTAGTGGCACTTTGTTACCTGCCATGGGTTAACACAAGGGTATTGAAGCTATTTTTTGTTCTTTTTGCACTGAAATCAGCTGATCTAAATTACTCCATCTGTTTATCTGCCCTGTTTGTTTTATGCAAGTGTTTAAGGCTTGACTTGCTCTGACTTTTGCTGTCCTGCCACAAGGTAACTAGATACTGAGAGCTAATTGTTTACAAGAGAGAATGAGAGGAGGTGGAGGTGTAACTTTATACACCGAGCTTAGAGGTAACTGAAACAGAAAGCAATGGAGGAAATACAGATGACAGAATTATTGCATCTTCAACTAATGTACTAAAGGCAAATTTGTGATTGGGAGGGTTTGCATACAGAAGTACTTACAAAGTACTTAAGTTACTGAACACAGAGGCAGTGAGAAATAAACTGAGTGATAATAGTGAAGTCGAGGTACTTAAGTTACTGAACACAGAGGTATTTTGAGCAGTGAGAAATAAACTGAGTGATAATAGTGAAGTTTAGGACTGCTATATTGTATATTCTGTTTTTTAAAAAAATTTGTCTTAGTATAACAAGTTGTAAAAGAGAGCTTTGAGTAATTGGCAGCTGAAAGGTGGGATCTTTTTTAAATATTGACCATTGACCCTCATTAATAACGACCATATTCCAAGATTCACGGGGAGGGGAGGGAGGAGGGAAGGAAGTGAAAACCTCATAATGTTGATGATCTGAAATTAGTATGTGGAAGATAGTAAAACAGGAAAAATAGAGAGGGGAGGTGGCAGGAGGTAGAGGTTGAATATGTTTTTCCTGAAAAGAATTATGAAATTCCCATGTAAAACATAGGTATATGGCATGTGAATGGTAGGGTGAGAAGCATTCTTAAAATAACTTTGCTAGTTTCCAGTACTGCCAATTTTAGAATTAAGCAATATTCAATAATTTAAGCTGCAGTGACTGTAGTTTCCCCAGTAACTATTCAGCTGCAACAGTATTGTAAGGTTATAATTAGTCTTCAGTATTAACCTGCAATTTGCCCTCCTATTCTTCACCATTTGGGCTAAAATTCCCCTAATCTACAGTGACTTTTATTTATGAACATTTCCGCTTATTAGATCAGCAGTTTCCAAGAACAACGTCAATCTTCACCAGAAAAGGAATTTTATGGATATTTTGTTTAAAAATGTTAACCCCACCTGCTCGTTGATATGGATCAGGATTACAGCAGACTTTATTTTTTGCCATTTTTATAATGAATTATCCACAGTTTGTCAAGATTTGAAATTTTCAAAAAATGCGGCAAGTAGTTTTTTTTCTGAAGATTGCATCTTTACAAGGTCCATCTGCTTACAGCCTCTTTGTGATGGCCAAACTTCACCTAAATGCTTTCTGATAGACATCCTGAAGCTTCTGAGACTTCTCTTGCATGTCGCTTGAATACCAGGCAAAAGATAATATCAGATCCAAAGGACCCATACGGACATGCAAACCTGACCCTATCTAGGGTACCTACCCCAGGCACCCTACCATAACAAGGCCAGAGGGCATCACACTAGAACACATAATGTCTGAAGATTGTAAAATGGGCTAGAAAAGGGGACAGAAGGCATATGTCATACCAGATAGACTTTAGATTGATTTTTTAATAGAAAGATAGGAAGAGTGGAGCCGAGCTAGGAAAAGCTTTTCAGCCCGGTGGCGTGAGGGCCACGACCTGGCTATTTTAACAAAATCTCTTGGGTTTGACAAAAATCAGCACACTGGGTGCCACAATGCTGGCCAACTGGGTACTGTCTGCAGCAGTTACTCTAGGACAAAAAATTGGAAAAGTACTCAGAATTATGAGCCCAGCTTTGGCAAAATTACTTACAGTCTGATTTAGATCTAGGGACTATTTGATGAGCCCAAGTCAAAAATTCCTCTAGACAAAAGTGCTCCAAAATCGGAAGTTACCTCAGAACATCAATATTTCTTTTCTGTCAGTTGCTGCTTGGAAAGTCCACCGAAAAACTCCGCTTTTACTTTAATTATTAGTGCAGGGAAATACTAATGTGGGTCTAACGGTCTCTATTGATTACAGAGGTTTAGAGGTTAATATGATTTTACAGCGTGGTGCCCTTGCTGTGACAGAGTTTGCAAGCTTTTAGGCTGGACAAAAATCTAGCTAGTTGCTGATCTTTCAGGAAGGTGGAAAAACAAACTAATGGATAGAGGAAGGAGCTGTTGTTGCTGAACTTTCCCATGACAGGAGAAGGGGCCTGACACACTTCTTCCTATGTGTGCAAGGCCCAGTGCAGAGGCAGGAACAACTGCCAGTACCACTGCCCTGCGTAGCATCGTGCTGCTTCTGTGCTGGTGGAAGCAAGCCATGTTCAGATATTGGTGTTTATATAAGAAAAAACAGTGTATTTCTGTTTATTGGAAAAATTAGAAGGCATGTCATGAATGAGGTAGGAATTCACGATTGAAAAAAAGGGGATTTTTTTTGAGTTCTCTTTCTACAACTGGATTCTGTTTGTGTCTCTGCTGCGGCATCTAAATGGTTCAAGATGAGTCATCTAACCTAAAAGTTCAGGTGCAATTTTACAATCTGAGCATTAGAATACTGTCTTTTTGCTCCTTAGTTATGAAATAGGATGAATGCACAATGTTATGAAGATAGATTCAGTACTATTGGGAGAATATAATGGGAAAGGCAATATAAATTAATTCTTTTATACTTAGATTTTGGCTTGGATAGGATGTGTAAATAGAATATGAAGATAATATGAATGTTAAATATTCATTGAATAAAATATAGGTGGTGTGACAAAAATAATGTGTGAACAAGTAACTTGGCTGTATCAGAAGTTTAACTGTGGAAGAAATCTTGTTTTGTGTGGTTTTCAAACTTTTTGGAAGTTATTGGCATTTGAATTTGGAATGGAATCACCAAATTTTAAAAGTCTCTGTGTTGATTGGTTCAAAATCCGTATTCTTTCCAGAGTTCATCCATGTTTCACTCTCATGTGTGTATGTATACGCACACACTGAGTAATTATACGTTATAATTACTAGATAGATATATTAATGTATAACTTATGATATGTTTATAATTTCTAGATAGATATATTAATGTATAACTTAGAGGTGAAACTTTAACTGCTGACACATAGTTACCAAAGACTCTGTTTCATGACCCCAAAATTGTTAAGAATTTAATTGACAGAGTAAGTTAACTGCTAGAAGAAAAACCCAGACTGAGGAGCATTTGGTAGGCTTAAAATATTCTATGCTTTTTTCTTTTCTAGTATAATGTGAGAAGGTGGTAAAATACCATATGAACATTTGGCAGTCCTTCCCCTACAAAGCTATTTACTAATACCGGTTTTGGATGATACTAAACTATGGATCCATATGTCTAATTACATGAGAAAGCATTTGTCCTGCAGTTTGCATGCAGTTCGACCTTCTATTGATTTTACTTTGAATTTCCCTCGTGTTGAAATCCAGGTTGGCTGTCTCAGAAAACTAATGCACAGATCCTGGCTTCTTCTCAGACATTTAAAAAAAAAAAAAGGAAAAAGAAAAAAAAAAGAAAAAAAAAGGGAGAGGAGAAAAGAGGAGCTTTAGCATAAAAAAAAAAGAACCTGGCAACTGTTTGAGTTGTATCTTACAGCAGTGTTTACTGCCGAGGTTTTACAGGTGAAAGTTCATATTACAGTGAACTGCTGATCCCCCTCCAAACATAGCTGGAGTGTGTCAGGAACAGGCCCAACCAGCGAGAACAGATTTTTATTTTGGATTGAAAGAAATGAGTAGGATTTACAATTGCAGCTGGCTGGAAGTGCCATGGGGAGATGGAGATTTAGGTATTGTATATTTTGTAATAATTCTTTTTAACCTTGCCTGTTAATACAATGCATATCTTTATTCTTTCTCTTTAGTGTTTACAGAACAGAGCAGGCTGCCCTTGCTGGTGAACTACATACGAGTGAGCTTGGAACTGAAGCGGTTTCTAAATTTAATTAGAGATACTTTGCCTTCAGCATCTGTCAGAGACTACGTCAGGAGGGACTTAATACATTAACAGTTTTTGAATAGAATATGATTGCTAATACCACTGTTACAGACAACAATGAATTGAAAATGTACTCATTTATATTCTTGTTAGTGCTTTCTAAGTAGCAGACCTGGCAGAGTTGTAGATTAGCAGAAGGCAGGAAGCTAAACAAAAACCTTAATTCTTTTGAAGACACCTATTGATTTATAAGATAAATATTTATAAAATAAGGTATTTATTTTGAACATGTTCTTGTCCACCTGATACTGAATGATCAACAATGATCATTATTATGATTAATGATAAGTCGGTTGAAATGTGATTTTTTTTCCAACCTTGAACAGAAGCTTTCTGCAGTCATTGAACTTACTTGTTTTTTTTAATAGAGCTGATAATAAAGCTAAGCATTTCATATTTAATAGACGTAGCAGAAATAGTTAATCGTTTGATGTATCTATTCGAAAGTAGAGATATAACGTAGGTCTAGGTGCAAATCTGAGATTGGGATAGGAACCAGTGTTTTTTGATTCTCTGCTGTCACTGAAATAAAAACATCAAGAGACATTATTCTGAGCACTCTTGGAGGGAAGTAGAAGTAGGAAAGGAAAATGCAAAAAGCTTTTCTTTCAGATTCTGTCTGAGTCTCTGACCTGTTTAGAGTTACACGTAATCACAAAAAAATGACTGCAGTATGAATATATTTAAGGTGCATAAAGGGTTAATGACATTTACGATTTAAAAAAAAAAATCCCTGTTGATTTAGGAATAAAATAAACTGTTGAAAGAAGTGAAGTTTTCTTTAGTGAAGAAATAAGGATTAATCATAAAAAAAAATGACTTCAGTATGAATATATTTAAGATGCATAAAGGGTTAACGACATTTACAATTTTTCTTTTTTTTAATGATTTTTTCCCTATTAATTTAGGAATAAAATAAACTGTTGAAAAAAGAGAAGTTTTCTTTAGTGAAGAAATAAGGACAAAATTTCAAAAATAAGGTTCTAATGACAACTTTTAATTACTTTTGAGCAGTTATTCAGAATCAATGTGTCCAGTGTTTTGGAAAGCTTATTTGAGTGCTTGTTCTAGCAACACTAAGGAAGGAGGAGAGCATTGGTCAAAATTTTCATTGTGACTGTATGCATCCAACTTGTAGTAGGAAAACTGTACTTGAGCTTATTGGCATGGGAGAGAGGGAATGTCAATACTTTCTAAAAATCAGGTCAATATAAAATTTCTCAGCTCTGTTACTGTAATATCAAGCCTCCTAAAATCGCAAACAATTTTTCTATATTTATGTTTTTTCTCAGCTCTTATTGCTAGAAATAAGAATCGTAAGATATTTAATAATAGTGAAAGCAAAATAAAAAGTAAAAGGAACAACGTGTGTGGGGTGCATATACACATGCACACTCACATGATCAGAGCTTACAGCAATTAGTTTTGAAAGGATGTTGGACTCTGGATCTTGCCTATGGTCCAGCTATTCACACAAATAAAAAGAGTACAAGAAATGTCACAGGATACGGGATACTGCAACATAATACTAATGTTCTTGCATTCTTGAGGGCAAAATTTGGAAGTTATAATCTCCAGTATTTAATTCTATAGTCAGTTTTATCTAGTCTTATGGTGACTAAAATGTTCAGTTGTGCCTTAATTTTTCTATTTTTTTTTTCTCCTGTCTCAGTAGCATGCAGTGACACTGAATTCCAGTGTAGTTGTGAGTTTTGGGAGAAGATAGTCTTATATGTGATTAAGTTTTGCTTTCGTAGAATGACTTCTTCAGTTTTAGGAAAAGGAAGCTAGAAACTCTTAATGTTTTCCATGTTGTCTCTTATTTTATATGTTTTTAACTACTCTCTCTTTTCTGTTCAGATTGAGCAGTCTTTATCTTTTCAGTCATTCTTTTTGTGACTCTGTGCCTGTTCTCATCACTAGTCTGTAAAATCCTACTGATTTGTTGAATTCTTTTAGAGTCAGTACTGCACAGTGCAGCCCAGAAAATGGCAAACAGTTTGGGATGGAAGTTGGATTCTCACTCTATACTTTTCTCCTTGCACTTGTGTGGTAGCAGCAGATGAATCTCATCATGCACAGGGTTTTCCCAGTTGAATTTCACACACATTAGAAGCCTTTTTTAGCACTTTTTCGGGCAGATTTATGTCTGTTTTAGGTCCGAATATCAATGTGTGGAAGTTTATAAGTTTCTGAATGACAAAACAAAAATAAGTTATTTTGTAGAAACTGATGAATATATTAAATCACAGTAATATAGTCAACATATCTAGACTTTGTTCTCCACTGTATCACAGAATCATTTAATATAAATGCTTACAGTTAATGGAACTTAGCTTTAATTCTCTGCAAGCGAAGCTGATGATTTGAAATACATAAAGGGAAGCAGTTAATTTCATGGGACAGTTGACTTCATTCTGTGCATTATCTTTTCTACATTGCTGTATTCATTCCAAAATCCTCATAATTTATATGGTTTACTCAATAAATGTTGTTATTATATAGGTTCTTGGGCAGATCGCTCACCTCTGCATGAGGCAGCCAGTCAAGGACGTCTTCTTTCTCTAAAGACTTTATTGTCACAGGTGAAGGCTGTGTTCTTAAAATTGCTTTTCTTAATAATATTACTTAATTTCTCATCATAAGTTGTTAGTGTGGATTTAGTATGTTTTGCTTTGCTTTTCTTTTTTTCTCACTTGAATGTTTCATAGCAATACACATTTGGAAATCTTAATAGCTTAAGGTAATAAATTAATATTTAATATATTCTCCCTGTTTTAAAACTTTCTTAAAATTAATCTTTGTGTGGGAATGTGTAACACTCATCCCTCTCTTCTGTTACAGTAGTTCCACTAGTTAGAGTCCTCCAGTAAATAGAGCTGGTCAGAAAGATCGTGGTTTATCAGGAAGAGTCATAGATTCTGTTTTTTCGCATGGTTCTGATTTTTTTTTAATAGCAAAGGGAGAAAATGTAAATCACTGAATTTTAATATTGCAGTATTGTGTCATGTTATCTGTTACAATACTGATAAATTATATCGGAGTATATATTTAAGGTATAAAGAAAATGAAGATAATAATTGATTTCAAATAATCAAAAAGCACCTACTGCAGAAAATTTCAAGGCCTCCAAGGGCTTCATCATTTTATCAATCCAAGAACAGTTCTCCTTGCTGAAACCTCTTTGACCTTAGAGCAGAGAATCATGTAAACACAAAAGAGTTTAGACTCAGAAATTTGCAATTCTTGTAAATTTTTAAAGGTCCCCACATATTGGGAATCTTCAGCTTCTCTGGACCACTGTTCCAGGGATTGACCATCCCCATGATGGAAGAATTTTCCTTTGTAACTAATGACATTCCCTATATTGCAGCTTGTGTTTGTTACCTTTTGTCCTAACACTGTGCATCTCAAGAGTCTGTTTCCATCTTCTTTACACCTTCCTTAAACATTCATACTCTATTTCAGTTTCTAATATTTCTGATAAAAAAAGGAAGAGCTGAAAGCATATTTTTGTTCTCTTATTTGCTTTGATTGATGATTCACTTTGTGCTCACTCAAGATGTATTTATTGCATGTAGAGTTTTAAGTGTATTCAGAGTAATAAAAACTGATCATTTAGAAGTGTAAGGAAATGACTGTTAACAGTCTTTGTAAAATCTTTGTACATCATTCATATCTTGCTTAGGGCTACAATGTAGACATACTAACAATTGACCAAGTCACTCCACTTCATGAAGCATGCCTGGGAGATCATGTTGGCTGTGCAAGAATCCTTCTTGAAGCAGGAGCAAATGTGAGTTTCTTTTTCTGAATGAAGTCTAGTACCTTTGTTTAGCTAAGAAGGATATATTCTGTTGTATTTTTAACTGTTACTTCTCTGCACTGTCTGTACTGATGGCATTGATTTCATTATATGACATTAAGTTCTCATATGAAAGCAAAGGAAAGTGGTGGGTCAAAGTAACATCAACAGAGAGACTGCAGGTAAAAAAACAGCATGAGAGAGGTAAGTATGTATGTATGTATGTATGTATGTAAGCTATCAACCAGAAGAGCAATAATAAAAAAAAATAAATGGGAGTTGAGAAGACAATAAGATAATTTAACAAATTGGAGAAGATCTGTAATGTGTCACCAGGCATACATTATTTTTCTTCTAAATTATATTATTTCTCCTCTAAAATGTAGAACGTGTCTCTTCTATACTAGCTTTCTCTGAGGGGCTTGCAAGAGACCCTCTATCATTAAGTCTGCCCATATCCCATGAAATGTCCAATACAGAGGTAAAAATAAGAAATAAAAAGTGTAGGGTAAATGAGTGAATGCTCATTGTCTTAGAGACCCATCACGTGCGCCTGCTGAAGCAACCCCAGATAGTGTGCTTGGGCAATAACAAGCAGAGTAGCTACTCTGTATTGAGTCTGTATTGAGTAAAATGACAAATAGTTCCTCCATTTAATATGGAGCATGCAGGCTGACAGAGGTACAGACAGAAGGTCTGTATCAATTAAAAGAGCTAAGTACAATTACTTCTGAAAATTAAGTCATTTACTGCCTGAATATAAATGTGTGAACTTCAGTATTCCAGGTGTATTTTGTTTTATTCAGCATAGTCTAACAAGAATAATAGTAAACTAGTTTCAACCAAGGAGTGTGGTGAGAGCAGGAGGGTAGCACAGGGACTCAGCAGCCAAGCCATGTTATTCTAAGCAATATATTTGTTGGTATTTTAATGCAGTTACTACCTGTATCTTGATTAAAAATATATGCTTATTTCAACTCTATTCTTTAAAAGATCTTATGTATTCTAGGTAAACGCCACGACAATTGATGGAGTGACACCTTTGTTTAATGCATGTTCAAGAGGCAGTGCATCATGTGCTGAGCTCTTGTTGGAGTATGGTGCCAAAGCTCAGTGGGAGTCCTGTCTTCCTTCACCAACTCATGAAGCAGCCAGCAGAGGTAAGAAATCAGCTGCTGAACAAAATGGAACCGCTGAAAAATGCCTCAGCAATAGTGTTGAGAAATGTGTCCAGTTTTGTCTATGAAACAGCTTACTGAAGTCAAGCAACACTGTTATTCTTTGGTAGGTCACAGTGAGTGTCTGGAGGTCCTGATATCTTGGGGTATAGATGTGGACCAAGATCTTCCTCACTTAGGAACCCCCCTGTATGTAGCATGTGTTTCACAGCAGATCCATTGCATTCGAAAGCTTCTCTATGCAGGTACGTGACTATTTAACTAAAGATACTGGTAGTTTTTGAAGTTGGGTTACAGTACCCACTTTTTTTGAGTGAGTTGTGCTCAATCATGAAAGCTTTCCTTGCCAGATTGCACAATGCATGTTTTCACAACAGTTTATTGTAATACTTTTATCCTTTTTAAGGTGTAGCAAGCATATGAGGGGAAAAGGGAGCAAGACCAGTGTTTAAAATTTTCAACACTGACTACGGTTTTGCAGGTGTTCATTTCTGTAGGAAAAAGTAAAGTAAATTAGAAAGAATTTTTGAAGAGTAACCATTGTTCTTTCAATAGACTTCTTCAGCAACGTAGTCCCACTCTTTTTCATAATTTAGCATATTCCGATTTATCTTTTTGCAAACAATAAAGGCCAAACTGTAGGGAGAAGAGGTTAGGTAAAGGCATTCGATTCCTATATTGTATATTTAATATAAATCAGAGATGTTTGTGGTTTGCTGTGTTTCAATCCAAATCCATGGACAAACTCTGCATTGTTATGGGATCATTTGTTATGTTGATAACCACCCTTGAGAGTTAAACACATATTTGAACAATTACAGTACAAGTGTAATTCTCAGTCACATCCTTGCTAGTGTTACACCAGCAGTTCTTCTAGTTAATTGACATGATACAGGTATGCAGTAAAATTCATTAGGTGACTAAATTCACTGTGGCATTCCAGGAGCAGGAAGGGGTGTGTGTGTTTGTGCACGTGCACACTTTTTTTTTTTTCTTTATTGATCTACAGTATTAAGCACTATCTTTACTTAATGACCTGTTCTTCTGTCCCTTTATGCCCGTATACCACCAGGTGCCAATGTGCAGAAAGGAAAGCATTTGGAAACTCCACTACATGCTGCTGCCCAGCAATCTAGTACAGAGATCATAAACTTACTCCTTGAATTTGGGGCAGACATAAATGCCAAAAATGCAGATTTTGAGCGGCCTGTAGATTTAGCTGCCCCAAGCAGTTTAGTGGAGAGACTGTTGCTTCTCCATGAAGGTAAGCTTTATAAGTATGTTTTTACAATTATAAGTTCTATTCTTGAAAAAAATATGGAACTGTTACAGAAGCTAACACAATGCTGTATGAAACGAATGATAAATGCATTTCTAGCTATAAAAATACCCAGTAATATTTATAGTCTCAGGTTATGTTGACCAAGCAGCATCAGAATATATACAAGCTGAAACCATATCTTCTTATGTTTATGAGGTATTTCTAAAATTAGACATTGAAACTGCCATTTTTACTGGCTATCTCAAAACTTTTTAAAAAGAATCTATGTATTTTCATTTCAGATTAAATATATAGTTAGTTTTGACCAGCTATGCCAATATATTTTTTAAATATATTTTAGAAGTACCAATAAAGCATTTGTAGGTGTCAAGCATGCAGTTACTGAAAGTATGGATTTTTTTTTTGTTAAAATCTTATCAGTTTGTACAAGGTATAATATAAACTTTCAGGCTATTCCCAGTTATGTATACCAATGCAAAGACAATTTAAAAAATAGAATATTAATGAGTTGTTATATATGATTATAAAGTATTTTGTAGAGAGAGAATCCACAGTAAGAAGTTTCTTTTTTGGATTAAATTTTCTTCATTGAATTATAAGTATCTGAGAATTAAGAGTGGTCACTCAAGACTTTCAAAGAGCATGAAAAATGCTGGTAGTACAGTTGACACAAATTACAAATTAAATATTACAAATAGATAAAAAAATAAAGTTCTTATTTGTGGCAGCAAAATAACACTGAATGCTATTTGTGTATATGTTATAATTTTGCTTTGGCTTTATATAGAGAGAAAAAGAGAAAAGACAGCATAAGAATGCTTTTTAATTCTTACCTTAATTAGCCAGTGTGAAGCTGGCATCGGTGCCAGCACATAAGGCAGCAGGCATCCTGCTCTTGAAGTGTGTGCCTTAGAGATAATATCCCAAAGGATATTATTAAAGGATATAGGATATAGACCTTGTATAGGAAAATAAGCCACCCATATGTGTGGGAAAGAAGTAGAGGAATTTTTGCCATAATCACAGGCATTTCTTTAGTTGCAAACTGACAAGTGGCATTGATTCAGTGTTTGCCCCCAGATAAGATCTGTGTACTGTGAGTGCTGTTTAGCTGCTTGCCGGGTAAGCAGTCTCAAAAACTTGTCTAAATTGTTTGTCTCAGTTTAATGCTAGAGGCCCTCACACTAAGTTACCAAGGTTAGTGTGATTTTTAGAAACCAAAGATGTTAAATAACTGAATAGGCAAAGAAGGCGTGTGGCTTTATTGCCCTTAGAAGTACAGCAATATTTGTATTTTGAGGGAGTAGAGGGGCGCAGGGGAGCAAAGGAGTTACCAGAAGCTAGTTAGTACCAATAACCATGATCTGGAATCCTGGGATATGGAGGTTTTGCCTGCTTACTCCTGGTTCAGTAACAGACAACTTGTATTTCACATATTTTATCTGTTCTGCAAGCCTAAAGAACCAACCAACCAAACAAACAAACCATAAGCAACTTCATCTTTGAAGTTGTCATCAGATATTTTCTGAGTGCAGGTTTTAAAATTAAGAACATGAATTCTTTGCTGGATCTCACTGAGTTTGCTTTTTAGATACCTGTCGGGTTTAGGCAGGTTTCAGCAGCCCCTTTCTATACCTTGGAGGAAAAAGGGTGTAAGAACAGGAAAAAAGAAGAATTTACAAAACATGAACTTTTTTAGAGATTTCGTTATTGTATGCAACTGTTGTAAAACAAAATGTTGGCTTTCATAGTTCTATAATTAAATTACTTTCTTCTTGCAGCTACACCATCTTCTCTTTGCCAGCTCTGCCGACTACGTATCCGAAATTACATAGGAAGAGCTAGACTGCATCTTGTCCCACAACTCCAGTTGCCAACGATACTGAAGAATTTCTTACAGTATAGATAACATAGTAACTAACCTTTAGAAACTTGAATAACAAATACTCTTTTTTTTTCTGTATATTTTACCTAAAAAACTGCTGGGCGGAAAAAAAGCCTTTTGCATATTATTTTAAAGAGTCTTTGACACACAGTCTAGGGATGCAGTAGTAATTGGGAGCCATTCAGCAACTGGTACCAAGGTGCTAATAAAGCTGAATTGAATGAAGTATGCTAGTGCTCTGGGAAATGATTGTATAGTTTTAGCTTAACACTTACTAATTAGCTTTAGTGCTGTTAATTGTATTTATACTTCATAATCTGTTTGACTCAATTGAACCACAAAGTTTCTTCATTATTACTTGTTAAGTTGTCCATTTAGTCCATTTTATGTGTTTTTAAGTTTCTATTTTTTGTGTACCTAAAAATACTTGGTGATAGGTGCATTATATACATTGATAAAATAAAAGAAATGAATGTCCTTTTTTCTTCTTTATTTTCTTCATATAGGCAATTCATTAATGAGAGTGAGAAACTTCCTTTACCTTCCTAATTGCCCATGTTGTGAACTGGAATTTTGCTGGAATATAATCAATGTTTTTTGTTTTTTCTTCAGCCATGCACAGTGTAGGGATGGCAGAGGAGTATTTCTCGAAGCCTTAGGGTAGAGAGACTCTCTGACATCCTCTGGTAACACAGAATTCTCTGGGCTCTCTCCTTATCTTTTTATAACACTTCTGGGTCTTAGCTCATGGGCATATGAAATAATTATTTGCCTTAGGGAAAGCTGCATTTAGTTGCATAGTATCTGCAAGTCACTCAGGAAGAGCACTGCAAGGTTCTCAAAGGCATGTTGGGTATATATACATACATATATATATATATATATATATATATGCTGACACCCGCAAAAGACATTAGAAGGCTCAAAAGGTGCCTGCTTCACTGTCTTAGCATTGTGATGACTGACAGTTATGTCAAAAAGGGCAATTTGTTTAATTCATCAAAATATATCACTGCTTCTCTCTGTCTTTTCGTTCAGTCTTCCATTAAGAAGATTACCTCCTCTGTGACTGGTACTCAATTCCTGCAAATCAAAGCTGGAGAGATCAGAAGATTTGCTGGTTGATCTTTGTGATTGACCTCCTTCCATCCCTTTTCAATGATCACATTTGCAGTTATGTTACTATTGTAGTTACGCTCAGTGAGGAAATGCAGTGGAAGCTTTAATGGAAGAATGCTTTTACTCAGTTGCTACTTTATACCTACACAATAAAACACAGCTGTCTGAGACTTACCTTCTTTAAAGGAAACCTGATTTCCTTGTTTCCTACAGAAACTCCTGTGGGGGCCTCTTCTGGAGTTCCTATAAAGGAGGGACTAATACAAGCCCTAGGAACTGCTCAATGGTCTGTGCTGTGCATACTTACTAGAAAGGAGAGTAAACAGTGAACAAGGTTGGTGTTGCTGTGTTCCAACCAGACACAGTATTTCTATGTACAATACCTTTACTGCATATTACCTCAGCATTGCCAAATGTTTGTGTCTGGAGTAAGATTACCTGAAGCCTCTCACCTTTGGGTATGCACAGTGCTTTTTGAATTCACTCAGGAAGACAGTTGCGAAAAATCAAGAATGATCTTTCATTAGCCATGAAGTAAGATTAATTTTCATTCACAATGGTTATTTTACAAAAGATCCGTTTTGAAACTAAACAAAGAAATGACATTAGGAGTTTTTTTTTTTTTTTTTTTTTTTGAGAGTCCCTGCTGCCTCACCAATCCCTACGGCTGTGTAAAGAACAAAAAAGATTATCTCTGAAGCCTATACATATTCAGTGCAATTTCTCTTTAATTCTGCTGCATTCTTTTTCTACCAGAAGGCTGGTCTGCTGCTAGCTCCCAGTAGTATTTTTACGACTTGAATGTCAGGTAACATGCAGTTGGTAAGGGTAAGCTTTTATCTTACACTACTAGATAATTCTATGAAAATAGAGTCACTTTAGCAAATCGAGCCAAGTTGGATGGGTATTGGTCCTGTTACCATGTAACAGGAACAAACAAAATAGGGAATGCACGTTGTTGGCCTGAGGAGGCTACACCACGTGCTGGAATCGGGCTTGGCAGATGGGTTCCCTCTAATGCCACATACCCAAAACATGGGCCAATGCAGTGCTAAGAAACACACTGGCACTGTGGCCACTGGTTGGTAGAAGTCTTTCCAAGGAATGATTCCTGTTTAGCCTGAAGTTAAATGAGGTGAGCTTGTTACTGCTTTCATTACATGTCTATACAGGAGGGTGGCTCATCAAGGGCAGCTCGCTGGCGCAGGCTGGGCAATGGGCTGGGCCCATGGGGGTGAAGTGGCACCGCTCCTCTTCACTCCCGTGCCTCGGGAATGCAGCTTCGTCCATGGTGTGTGGGGAGTTCTGCCGCTCTCCTTGTGTTTGTGTTTCCTCCGTGTCTGTTTCCGTTGGCTCCAGGGGCAGGCGGCTTCAGGTCGTGGCCCCAGTTTCTCATGTTACAACAAACATTGTGATTTCTCACTCCACAAGCATGAAGTATGACAGACAGGTACGCCCATGCTAACCGGTGCTTTGGGGGACACTGGGCTTATCTCTGTATTTGTACAAATTAGATCTTAGCAGGGAAAGGCTACTTGGATGAACTAATGGGGCATTAGGGGAACGACAACTTGCAACTCGGTACTTTGTTTTTCCTCAAATCTGAAACCTTTTTTTCCCCAATGTGAAGTGTTTTAGCTGAGGACCTAATAGATGGAATCATTCACTGCAAACCGGGAGCAGCGGAAATGCTACTCCTCTTTTACCAAGTGAAGCTGCAGAGTTTCTGAGACAAGTCTCAGCTGAAGCATTGGTGTAGCAGAGGTATTAAAACATGCCATGGATTTTAAGTAAGAAAGGGTTTGGGTACACAGGGAGAGCTGTGGGAAAATGTATGGCTTGCCCTTAGCAAGACCAGCAGTGTCATTGTCTGACAAAATAGAAATCTAAATTCTGACAAAAATGACAAAAACACATAATGATTTTTACTTTACAAATGTTTTCATGTTGTTCAAACACACATGCTTCCAAGATATACTGTGTAATTACTCCCAGCTTTTTATTTCTTATTCATGATCTCATGTGTTATGTCTCCCAAGATCCTGCTGCTATCTCCCTTTGAAGTGGGAAAAGTGGAAATGAATAGGGACAGCCAATAATGCAGCAAGACACCAAGTCCTACATGGTTAGGAATGATTAATGCACATAAATGCCAACCTTTTTTGGGCATAGACAGCAATAGCCACAACAATCTGCCTAAAGAGGTTTAAGGTTGCTTCTATGCAGGGGATAAGGTTGCTTTATACATAAGACTAAATGGTGTCCTCAAGTTGAGGATTTCTTTCAATGCTTACCTAAAGAATGGCTGTCAAGATGCACCTTAAAACCCTACTGCCCTTTGAAAACTATGGAGTTTCAATGCTTTTAATCTTCACAAATGTCTTTTTCCTCACCCTTCTCCTATTTCTGATTTTATTCCTCTTGCATTGACGCTCCTCAGGAAGATGTTCCTTTTAAAGAAACGCAGGCAAAACAGGCCGACAGACCTTCTGTTGTGATGATGTTTGACATGTCCAGTAGGTTACTGAAAGAAGCTGAACCTCATAAAGAAAACGGAGAGGAACTTTCAAACAGAACTCTGTTCTGATGAGGGTGATGTTGACTGCTTAAACCTAGGTTTGTGTCTAACAGTAATCCCATTCTGAATGAAATAAACTGAAAACAAGACAAGACATTATAATCTCTGCAGCACAATAATTTGTGTTTGTACAACAATGCTAGCTTCCTCTTCAGCAAAACACCTCTCATAAGAAATTAAGTATCTAAATCAGTAAATTTTCTAATACAGATTTTCTGATAAAAGAGCAGAATCTGTGAGGTATAACCACTGCATGTGAAATTTTCATTAACACGACAGGTTAAGACATAAGGACAAGTACACTACTGACAGGAGGTTGTATGCCCAGTCTTCACGACTGGTTTATTTTTTCCCTCTGTTGTCTTCTTCATAGCAAAAGTGATCCTGAACATTATTTTCATTCCTGCATAAATGTCTAAGCTTCAAGAAATAATTCGTGCCTATACTGAACAAAGAATATTCAGGGTAGTTTTGTTTTCCATGCAAAGAATGAGGGCAGTTTCTTGGATTACTGTCATCTTAAACTTGTAATTCTGTATTTAATAATTTAAACCCATGTTGCTGAAGAACATCTTTTGTTGGATAGAAATGTCTTATAAAATTCCTAGTATTCCAAGAAGCGAGATTTCATATCATGATTTTTTTTGTATTCATAGAAGCTAGCTAGGAAAGGGTTCTGCTCTAAAGATAGAAGCTTAAAAATGGGGCGTTAAGGGTGATCGGATTCGTTCAACTAAACAATTTTATTGTTGTAGTGCTAACAATGTTAAACTTCTCTCAGCTATACTAAGATTTATAGTAATTTGAAAGCATGAGCTGCTTGCTAGGTAACTTCATTAAAAGAGAAATACTTTCACAGAAGAGTCAAACAATCATTTGAAGGCAAAGGATACTTTAATGGTAAAGGGAAAAATCTATAGTTGACTAGCTGTGCCAGACACTGAAAACACGTTAGCACACAATCTGAGATTTTATCTGAAAATAATGCATCTATGTTTTGACACTTGCAACCACAATTTTAAACAGCTGACACTTATATTTGTGTGTTCTCACCACCACGAGGTAAATCTATTTTAAAGAAAATGCAACCTACAGAATAAATATTACCCAAATAGATTTCTAATACTAAAAAGTGCCCTTTGACTTACTTTCAAACATAAAAAAAAATCCTCAATCTAAAGATGTAGTAGGTTTGTCTCAAATTTGATAATAAGGCATAGCTCCACAAACTGATGTAGTTATACTATATGTAGTTATATTTTGTGTTTACAACTCTCACATACAAAAACATTTGATTTATGTCCTGAAAAATAAATGACCTTTCATTTGTTTTATGTCCTGAAAAATTTGATTTAAGCAACCCATCAGATACTGACTATTGGAAAATTTATTTTGCAAACTGAATTTTTATTTCAGAAATGCATCTCTTATTCCCTAGATTCCACATGATTAAACACAGAAAAACACTTCTCAAACAAAACCTGTTAAATAATGTTTCTGTATGGATTACAAAACAGCTAAATTGTGTGGGTTTTTATTTTTCTTCTTCTTCTTCCAGTACTACTCTAAAACCTTGGCAGAATGAAATTTTAACTTTCTAAAGATAAACGGAAAAGAAGGGAATTTTTGAGTTCCAATTTCCTTCGAGCTTTCTGGCCTGGCCAAATACTTGTTTCTTTCTGTTCTTCTGTTGGTTAAATGAGGACACTGCTTACCCAGCTGCTGAGAATTGTTACATCTACTAAAAGAAGATTTATTA